GGTGTTTGGACAAATGCTAAAGCTACCAGGTGTCACAGATTATTCAAATTTCTGACCTTTGAAAACTTTCCTAGACTATTTTTTGACATTTTAGGCTTGGAAAACTTCCAAGATCTCGAAGGAAACTAGCCTAGGGTATTGGATCTAGAAGTTTATTCTAAACCTCTGACAATTTGTGATAGGTCTGTAACCAATTCGAAATCAAAAGAATCAAAATATTAGTGATTTCTTCAACATCAATTTACAGTTAACATTTCTGTCTGTTTGCAACTTTTCTTGTCCGTCAGAATTTACACTGATTTTTAATTAATCTTTCTAAAACACATTTGTTACCAAATAAATCTATGATTTGATGTGAGTTTTTAAAGTATTTTTTTTTTACTCTCAACATTGGTCGTAAAAAAGTTACTTTAGTGACAAAATTTTAAGGAATAGTGTATTTAGTGACCTTTTGATGAAAAAAGTGACTAGCTCGAAAATAGTGACTAAGTCACTAAAAAGTGACCTGCTACCAGCCCTGAATTTAAAATTTTATAAAAAAAAACCTTATACACTGAAGTCTTTTTTACACGGTTTTTTTACGCGGTTTTTTTTACACGGTTTTTTTCCACGGTTTTCCACGATTTACACGGTACGTTTTTAACGATTTCTCGACAACGATACAACCTATCGACTTGATTCCAATCACATTATCCGTTTCAAGCTATTTGTAATCGAATGGCATACTTAAAAAAAATCAAAAATTTTGGTGTAAATACAGAAATTTTTAAAATATGTCTATATGGACCATATCATGCTTTAATTACAAATGGCATCAAAATCCGATTTTTTTTAAACATTTAAGCATGCGAAAAATCAAAATCTCGTAGGTTTTTTTTACACGGACCATATCCCCCGTGTAAAAAAGACCTGAGTGTATTTAGGAATTTTAGATCTATTTCCAATATTTATAGAAAAAACCGCTGTTTTCGGGTCTTTAAGCATCTCCTTAACATCAGAAAAATTGCAAAACATAGTTTTGAGAATTTGAAGATAATTCCGAGAATTTTAAGGAACTTCCGATAACTCCAAAAACATTGAACTTTGGGAATGTTTTAAGATTCTTTATGTTAGGTTCCAATGGTCCCAGGGCTTTTCTATGAATTACCGGAAAATGTCAAAAACTGTTCCATTAAAATCAGGAACATTTCAGTAATTTGTCAGAAGATTTTAAGGTTCCCACTTTGCACTTTGTGGCTGTTCTGAGAACTTCAAAATAGTTCCACGAATAACAGGAAAATTGCGAGAACTTCAGAAAAGTTCCGAGAGTATCAAATATATTTTGAGAATTTTAGGGATGCTAAAATTTAAAAAATAGCGAGAAATTTCAAGCTGTTCAAATTATAATTTATTTTTAGGAAATATCGGGCTCGTTAAAAGAAAATCGGTGCAAATTTCTGAAGTTTCAGAAACATCATCAGAAGAATAACGAGAACTTCAGGATGGATTAGAGAGCTTCAAAGTGGTCTACATATTTTTTAAGAACTTCAAATAAGTTCTGAGGAATGGAAGGAAATACTCGGGATTTCGGGAAAAATTCTTGGACAAACTGCGGGTAAAATCTGACCAGAAGGTAAAGTCTGAGATCTTCTTAAACATTTTAGACACCTCAAGGAAGCTTCGAGAACTTCAAGATGATTCCAACACCTCTTCATGGAAACTGCAGGAACGTTTAAGAAGTTCTTCGATCGTCAGGGAAGTCAAGAAGTCCATAGAACTTGTGGATACTTTATATAAATTCCAAGAACCTCAAACAAGCTAGTTCTTGAGATCTTCAGACAAGCTCAGAGATCCTAAGGGCAGTCCCAATAACTTCAGTTTAAATATCTGTAAAGGACAATTTTTAGAAATTCACAATAGCTCCATACATTCTAGGAAAAGTTCGAGAAACTTAAGTCCATAGAAGTACTGAGAAATTTAGAAAACTTCATACATATTTTGGGAACAACAGAAGTCCAGAAATGTTCAGGGAAATTTTTCTGGTGTAGGGGAAATGTTGACTTCGGCAATACCTTAACCTATTATCGTCAGGGGGTAAACAATGTCCTAGAGCACTCAAATTTGGCCAATAGATGCTCTCAAACACAATGTATCTACATACCAACATTGAGCTCTCAAGGACGTTGTTTACCCACTGACGATAATAGGTTAAGGTATTGCCGAAGAACTGCACAAACTTCCGGGCAGCTTCAAGAACATCAGAGAAGCTCAGAATATCCTCAGCAAAGTTCTCAGATTTTCAGAGAAGTCCTGAGAACTTTAGAGAAGTTTTTAGATTTTTAGGCACTTTCATTCTGTTTTAGAATGTTCAGAGTATTTGAAGGATGATCAGAGATATTCAAACCAGTTTCTTCAATTAATTACCGGGAAAATTATAGATAATTCTAAAAATCTCAGGAATGTTTAAAAAAAATTCAGCAAAAATGGGGGCTTTGACTATATGTTTTTAGTATTACTTCTACGTGAAGTCAACGATTTACATAGTTGAAGATGCTAATTTCAAATAACAGACTGTAGTGGTAATTTTTATACCATAGATGGAGTAGATGAAAGCATAGAGTTGATAGTTCCGTTAGAGTACGGCAGTGTGAAGATTGTATATAGATATTAGAATAGCGAACTAGGACAACTTTTAAGGAAGGTACAAATCGGTTTTTTCATCTCTCTTTACCAAACACACAGTTGGTACTTGAACGGGTCGGTTTTCATCTCTTTTTGCCAGTGGTGGCGGGGGGGGGACACCCTTCACCATCCCTCTCCAAAGGGGGAGTTTGGTAAAGAGAGATGAAAAAACCGATTTGTACCTTCCTTAAAAGTTGTCCTAGTTCGCTATTCTAATATCTATATACAATCTTCACACTGCCGTACTCTAACGGAACTATCAACTCTATGCTTTCATCTACTCCATCTATCGTATAAAAATTACCACTACAGTCTGTTATTTGAAATTAGCATCTTCAAAAATGGGGGGTTTTGACGGAAATCCCATCAATATTAGGAAAACTGTTGGAACGTTCAAGACCTTCTGAGAGCTTCTTGATAATTTAGGGAACATTGTCATGGGGGAAAGAAAACTTCATGTAAGTCTAGAGAAGTTCAGCGATTAGTTTAGAGATGTTATAGGATGTCCCATTACCGTAAGTTTCAACATTATTTAGAGAAAAAAATAGGAACTTCTGGATAGATTAATAAGCAGATCTTCGAACTCATGGTTACTTTTTGAATTTATTATTTAAAAATCCAAAATTTTATCAATGCGTAGGTTCTAGAACAGACATGAAAGATCTAGGGTAGACGATGATTGAATGTACATTAACAACCTTAGTGTGGCCATCTTGCCCCGTCTTCCCCTAAGCGGAAAATAAAAGGTACTATGAGGATAATGTAATAGGAATACTGAGGAACACTCAGAAAATAATTCCAAAAGAATTCCGAGAAAAATACCAAACGAATCATAGCTTGAATATGGTTTACTAAAAAATTGAGGAAAATTGAAAAGCATTTAAGAAAAGTTTCAAGAAAATACAAAAGAGGAATACAAGAGATTTCTGCGGAGAGTTTTGAGTTCAAAAGAATCTAATCCTTGCAAAAGTTACAAAGGAATTTTAAGAAATATTCCAAGGAAACTCTTACGAAACTTTTTAAGGGAACTCATACGAGAATTTCAAGGACTTTCAATATTTCCAACGGAAGTTTCTGGGAAGTTTAAGGATAATTCTGTGATATTCTGAAAATATAATATTGATAGAAAACAAATCATCGATCAAATAATAATGTACCTACATCCATAAAAATACAACCTATAGTTAAGGTGACCGTCTGTTGAGCATATTGATTTTTCCCAAGTTCTCCCATTGAATTTCCGGGGTATTTTTTCCGTTTTTCCCGTTTAGTTTTTAAATTCCCGGATATTTACAGATTTTTCCGGTTCGCTGGCCACCTTGAATTATCGTTTGATCTGATACTTTGATCTAGGATCCAGATACGCGTGATCATTCCAACATTCCAAACTTCAGATCTTGAACATAGATATTTCTTGGAATTAACATAAATTTCAGAATCCCAAACTAATGATGTAATGATGACGGATTATAAGATTATGGAGAACCATTGCTACCCTGATTTTGGGTTTAAACCTAGTACAGTGTACGAATACGTATTAAATTCTTCAAGTCATATTAGTAATATGATTTAGACTCGAAAATTGCTTTGTAACCACAATGAAGATTGAAATTTTTCTTGGGAGGACTTGATTTTGACTTTTTATTTCGGGAATGATTTTGTAATTTTTACGCCTAAGATGGATTTACCAATAAACATAGTTTTTATTTTATATTTATGCAATAATTTTGAGTTAAATATATTTTTATTTATTTATTATTTTCTTTCAGAAAAAAACGATGAATAACTAAACAAGATAAAAAAATACAACTTCACCGAGAGGTTAATTTACTACGAACGGAAAACCATAAAATATTAAACAAAATTAATAACAACTTGGACGAAACTAGCTTCTACGGAAAAATGGAAACAAACATTCATTAGATGGGCGGCAATTTTTCCAACCGCAAAACCCATATCCTTTCAAGGAAAGGAGGCAACATATGGCAAGCGAGCGAACACAGTGATTCGGCCAGTTTGAGACAGTTAAGGAAAGACAAAAAAAAAGGAAAGAGAAAGGGAGATAGAGACAATATTCAAGCTCAACAAAACACAATTAACAGGGAACAGAGCGAAAGGAGTAAGTGAGTGTGAGAGAGAGAGAGAGGCACTACTGGCTAACATGTAGAATGGTTGCAGTCGGAACTTGTTAGCAGTATGTAATTCCATAATTCCGAGTACACCCAAACTGTAACGAGTTTAATTGTAATTGTTCTACTACTGGAGTAACTGCGCTCAACTATATAGACGGCAAAGGCTAAAATGTTCGATTAGTGTTGATGATTAAACCTGAAACTAACCCTTATCTGACGAGAATATGTCTTTCAGTTTCCCTTTTTTCCTAGTTTCCTGTGTCTGTTGCTGTTGCAGTTTGTGTGCTGAAGAGTATGGTTGTTGTTGATGTTGTTGTCAGAAGAAGAAGTAGTAGTAGTTGTTGTTGTTGTTGTTGTAAAATGTGTTAGTTTTTGATTATCCAGCAGTTGACGAGGCGAGGGGGTCCACCGATTGACACACGACACGCATACACAGTTTCGAGAAGAAGGCAAGTCGAACGTTCGACAAATTGCAGTTTATATCGATAACAAAACATGAATCCAGGAATGCACAAAGCAGCAGAAAAAGAGAGAGAAAAGAAACAAGTTGATAAATTAAATATTGACACAATCTGTTCATCAGAGACTAGTTGACGCGGCAAAATGGACCCGTCAGGCGAAAATCAAACAAACAAAATAAACCATAAGTCAAATCAATCAGAAAACGGCTGAAACATTTCGCGGGACGGATTCTCTCCTGTAATCACAAATCGAATAAAGTGAGTGGGGAGGAAGGGGGGGGGGGGCAAGCGAAAGGATCGGGTATAAATAAGCAAGAGTGTTGGAGGGTGCTGGCAAATGACTGCAGGATGAAACATGATATGACAGTTGCAGTCTAGAGTTAAAGTGAAACAAGTCGGAACACACAAACGAGTTTCTACAGATGTCACGAAACGATAGAAACTAAACCGCGTCATCAGTTATCAGTCGGGTTTAGGTGCGTGAAGAATTAACGATGATTTTATTTGATTTATTGCAATCCTAAATTGTTCTATTTAAAAGAACATCGCTTGACACAGTTACCCTTCTATAGAGCTATCGCAATCGACATAACCCTCCGTTGTACCAAGCAGAGGGGAAAGAGAACATCCTTTATCCATTAAATTCACACGTAAGTTAATTGAGACTTGAAAATCGCACCCGAAACAGATATTTCCCCAATAACTAACCTTCATCGAACATTTGTTCCAGACACCGACAATCTATTTATTATTGCACCCTATTAAAACATAATTTCGTCGGGTTCTGCCTTTTAAAATAAGAACCAAAACCAGTTGTGGATTATCCGCATATATGTATACTCAATATACACACTACCCGTTCAGAAAAAAAACGAATTTTCCTCCATTATTTGCATACTTCAACCCAGCGAATAATAGTGTAAACAAACGCACGTCGTTCATGTGCCGACTGCATGAAGCAATTATCGTCCCCTCCCCCCCCCCCCCCCCCCCTCGTTCCTTCGATCTTCCCTATACCGTCTCTGGCTGCAATGCATCACCTTCGTTCGTGCGGCCCCCCTTTCGTGAAGCATACCGGAATGAATGAACGAATCCAACAACCGGTCGATCGAACCGGTCGTGTACAATCCATCACGGATGGGTGCTTTTCCGTCGGAAAATTAAATTGGAAAAAAAATGGGAACAAACCCTGAACACCGGTAGTGTTTGCATTTCGTGCTTAGGCATACTGCAATCACGGGGGATAGTACATGGGCTATAACAGTAGGTTGTGTTGTGCATTGCATTTGGGTTGATTGAATTTAGTTCTAAAAAAATGTTACAACATTTTAATGCAACTAACTGCGATTTTTCATTTATATTTAACTACAACTTTAGTGTAACAACCGCCGATGATGATCTTCATGGAATTATGTTGAGTAAATTTATATACAACCAAAACCAGGTATACGAAGGTTATATAAACTGCTATAGAATATGTGTGTTGCTTCGGTACGGTTCACTTTTCATCCATTTATTGGATTCTTTGATTTAAACAGATCCGATGTTTTCTGAATCATCTTGCCCCTTAAATGCTGCATGTATGTGCTGTATGTGTGACGCATCAGCGATGTGAAACATATATCAAATAGACAAGACAAATTATGGAGGTGCTTGGCTGTGTTCGTGTTAGGTTATATTAAATTAGACAACATTGACAACCGAGATATTTATGCGTGGAAGCTGCTGTAGCAAGTAACTATACAACCTGGTTGTTGTAACCGATATGTAACATGTTAACATGTAATTCGAGATAAGTTTTGAAAAAAATCCTGAATTAATTCTGAGGATGAAAAAGAAGAAGGTTTTCAGTGTTCACTTGGCTGTCGACAGAAGCAGACCACTCTCAATGTGTGTCACGCGATCGTCTGTTTACTCGGCCGCAACCATTGTGTAGTCCTCCTCATTGTTCTTCATCAGCAGTTCTTTTAGTCGATGCGTCGTCGACTTAGGAAGGCAACCGTTTCGTGATGAATGTGTGAGTGCTGACCGCGTTTTACGTCCATTGCTGCAATGGAAGCGCTCTGACCCCCGCCGTTGGTTAATCTACCATACAATGAAACCACTGGAAGCGGCTCCCGTTCTGGTGGAGGAGGCTGATTGGATAGCGGAAGATAAAATCTAGATAGAGCTGGAATTAGGGCGTAACAGCTTTTGTAAACAATGACTTCTCTCAAGGATTTCTACAAAATCAAGGCTCGCCCACGCAAATCAACATCATCATCGAGTAGAGAAAGACTTCCTCTACCCGATAGTTGTATTGGATTGCGTAGGCGCGCCTTGAATTCCTAGAAATCTTTAAGAGAAGTCATTGTTTACAAAAGCTGTTACGCCATAATTCCAGCTCTATCTAGAAATGTTAATTGTGTTGTACCTTTTGACTATAGATGTATTGAATAGAGAACAAGAATCCTCGGCTGTGGAAAGTTTTTTTTTATCTTTATTAAGGAGACTTTCATTAACGGCGCCGGTGGTGTAGTGGTAAGTGTGATTACCTCTCACCCCAGCAGGCCTGGGTTCAATCCAGTGGCGTCACCCTAACCTCAATCTACCTGTTCAACAACTCTCAAAACGTAAACAAACAAAACAATATTTGTTCCAATTGATAGAAATCAGTGAAACTAGAATATCCTATGCCTTTTGAAACTGATTTTGAATATGACCCTAAATAACGTTTTCAAAGTTGTTGAACAGGTAAAAAGTGAGGTTACGCGACGCCACTGGTTCAATCCCAGTCGGCGCCGCCGGGATGTTCTGAGGCATAACATCTCTGATCACGCCTTCCTTCGGATGGGAAGTAAAGCCGTTGGTCCCCGGTTCATGAGTTGATGGGTCGATAGGTAGGGTCCAGGTGTGGGAGCTGCCTTCCTGGCACGTCGGTAGCATTGGTGCTCAGCACGGAAAACAAGATCAACGGAAAAAACAAACCAAAGAAAAAAAAAAAGGAGACTTTCAGCCCTGGGCTGGTTCGTCTCCGGTCTATAAAGTTAATTCGGTTTAGCCACACCAAATAAATTAATAAACAAAAAAAGAAAAAAAGAAGAAGTTCCCAAGAGAGTTCCAAAAGAACTCTGATATGAAATCCAAGGGAATCTTAATTTGATAAAAGTTTCAATGGCAATGTGGAATGGCTGGAAGAATTCTGCGGGCTGCACAAACTCAGTCGGTGGGCCGCATGTGGTCCGCGGGCCAGTGAATGAGCACAGGGTGTCTACTCAATCTAAGGAATCAAATTCCCTGAGTTTTCCAGGTTTTTCCAGGTCAGATGAAAAAATTCCAGGTGCATACAAATTATACACATTATTATTTTATCTATTTATCCATCTGGAATCCCTTTTATGTACTTATTGATTTATGTTATTTTCGATTGTTCAAACTTGGGCGTTGGTACTTATAAGTCGGCAGAGCAAAAAAGTTATTGAATATTACAGCAGAACAGATGCACATAGGTTGTTTAATATTAATTTGTACAATCAATAGTGGAGGTACGTTAGTACAATGTACTTCTATAGCGGCTTAGGGAGACTCTATAAGCCACCATAGTAACATATTACACTAAAGTACCTCCACTATTGGTGCATTTATCCTACACATAATTTGCGAAAAGAAATTATATCCATGGGTGTAATACTGTATTTGGTTTTTGCAATCACATTAGTTATTCATACAGTAACATGCATTACGTCATTCAATATTACATTCTTTTTTGGTATTTGTGTTAATCCAAGAATATAAATACAAGAAAGAAACCTGTCTATACTATGATATCAAATATATGATATTGATATATCAAAATTTGATAACAATATGTTTTCAAAAACAAAATATTATTTTGATAATATGTTTGAGTCCAACTCTGTTTGGAAGATCAAGACAGAATAAATCATGGTTTCACATGTCTAAAATTTCTTAAGGTCCGTTTAGACTATCTGATTTCTTGGTCTGATTTTGACCACCGCCATAATGAAAAATCTGCTCGAATTTACTTTCGACACACTTTGTCGAACACCTCCCCCCCCCCCTGTTTGCTGGTGTTCACACTGCTTGCATATGTCGAAAGAACTGTCAATTTAGATTTCAAAACAAAACTGTATCAGAAATCAAAAGTAAATACTTCCATCATGAATTACCGGAAAATTGCTCTAGTTTCGGCAGACGTATTTGCTTTTATTATTTTAAATAAAATGAGAAAAAGAAGGTGAACTTTGTGGAGTAGGAAATGGTTGCTCAGGAGGAACACCGGTAGAGATCTGGCTCATCTTGTCCATCTAGAGCTGCGATATGAAGATGAAAATGGATTTCAAAACTTCGCCAGGATGTCGATACCAACTTTAAACAAGCTAGTGGGAAAAGTTCTCAGATGATTCCTTGAGTTCTGAAAATTTCTGTTAACAACTCAATTCTGCAAGGTCTTCAAACCTTCTGACGTCCCTGAAGTTTTGTTTCTGTTCTCCGGTAAAATTTCTTTAAAGATCAACAATCTTTCCAGACAATCTGCAAATGTCTAGGTAGTTCTACAGATTTCTTTGAAGTTCTGTGTGTTCTTCAGAAGTTCTGCAAATTTTCCTAAAAATCTACAAAGTTCCTGAAACCCTGAAGATTTAAGATCCTTAAAGATCAACAATTATCTCTGATGTTCACAAAATTTCTAATAATCTAAAAACTTCTCGAAAGTTCTGTAATTTTCTCTGCAGATTTTCATGATTCAATGAATATCTGCAAATATCTCTTAACATCTATACAATTTTTTAAAGAATTAAAAGATTATCTAGAAATTTTTGAGCT